CTGTCAACAGCAATGATCAAATACTGGTTCTGTGATATGGCATTATTTCCTAGAAGAACCAACTGGCTATCTGGTGCCAGGATGGTTATACTGCACATCTGTTATCATGGGGGGAATAACCATTTGTCCTCTGTAGAGATTTCTGGGTATGAATTTTCCTTCCCAGGCCACAGCACTTCTGCTAATACCACTACTCATGGACTTACAGAATAACTGTACTATTGCCTTGCTCTACCACATATTACCTTTGCCCAGGGGACCCATTTTACAGCAAAGGAAGTATGACAATTAACTAATATCTTTGGAATTCAGTGATCTTACCATGGATCCCATTAAACAGAAGAAGCTGGTATTATTAAATGGTTTAATGGTCTCCTGAAGGCTCAGTTACGACACCAGTTGTGAGACAACACCATAAGAGGTTGAGATGCTATCCTCAAGAATGCAATATATTCCTTAAACCAATAGCCAATGTGTGGCATAATTTGCCTATAGCCAGAATTCAGACGTCCAGAAAGCAAAGATATATTCCTCTCACTATTACAGCAAAAAAACTTACTACAGGGATATTTTTCTTCTTCCAAGCCCCAAAAACTTAGTAGATTTGGAAACTCTAATATCCAAAGAAGAAGTACTTCCACCAGAGAATTCACAGCCTGTTGAGCTGGAAATTGGAACAAGAAAAGAAAAGCACCTCTATATAGCCCTAGGTAATTGATTACCATACCAGTGGGAAATCGGTTGCTCCTATACACTCAAGTCAAGGAGGACTGTATCTAGAACCTAGAAGTTCATTAACAAGTCCATGTGAGTACACACATACCCGATGGTCCTGATCAGTGGAAAACCGAGGCAACTCAGTAACGAGAGGTGCACCAAGAACCTAAATCTTATAAGATCAAAAGTTTGGGCCGAGCGCGGTGGCTCACGCCTGTAATCCCAGCACCTTGGGAGGCTGAGGCGGGAGTTCACTTGGGGTCAGGAGTTTGAGACCAGCCTGGCCAAAATGGTGAAACCCCGTCTCTACTAAAAAATAGAAAAAAACTAGCCGGGCGAGGTGGCGGGCGCTTGTAGTCCCAGTTACTTGGGATGCTGAGGCAGGAAAATGGCGTAAACCCGGGAGGCGGAGCTTGCAGTGAGCCGAGATCCGGCCACTGCACTCCAGCCTGGGCGACAGAGCGAGACTCCGTCTCAAAAACAAACAAACCAACAAACAAAAATTAGCTGGGCGTGGTGGCACGTGCCTGTAATCTCAGCTACTGGGGAGGCTGAGGCAGGAGAATTGCTGGAACTTGGGAGGCGAAGGTAGCAGTGAGCTGAGATTGAGTCACTGCACTCCAACCTGGGTGAAAGACAGACTCTGTCTCAAAAAAGAAATAATAAAATAAAAAAGTTTGGGTCACTCTGTAAAGAGGCTCATACAGTGAAGTGCTGGCAGAGAGAAAGGGAACACGCAATGGGTAGTGGAAGAAGAAAGCCATGATTCCCAACTTAAATTTCATGACCAACCATAGAAGTAGGGATTCTAACAGTTACATTTCATATTGTTTGTCCTCCATCCCCACTCTTCCCATTAGAAAGGGTAATAGTAATGATTAATATTTTATGTCTCAGGGATATGTTCAACACCATAGTTACGGGAACTTTTTGTGTGTCCCAAAAGGTGTGTTCAATTTTTATATGAAAAAAAGTACAAGAGAAGATGTTCAGAGCAAGAAGGAATAGACTTTACCGCATATCTTCTGTTTATGCCTCCTGATCATCCAATCAGCTCTGTGTCCTGTGAATTTGAGCTATATGGATTACATCAAGGGCTCTCTTGCCCTCTGATTTCTGGTTGGGTTCAGCCAATGGCAGACACTAGCGGGAGATAAGATGGCAGGAAGAAAGTAGAGTTATGTTATTTATTCTCCTGGCTCTTTCCCTGATGGGTCACCATAGGTTCACTGCCTCATTCTATTAGTGACAGGTCCCAGAGGATGTCTCCCTTTTCACAATTATTCTTTTGTTGTTTTAATAATTGTTTCCTTACTTTGCTTATCAGACCCAGGATTCGTAATAGTTCCTTGGTATCAAGTCCTAAGGTATGCACTGCACTGTGCCTTATTGGTTTTCTTTAATTTCACCCACACCTTTGAGAATAGATTTTTTTCATTATCCTGTTGTAGTGTGTTATTTCTGACCCAAGCCTAACCGATAAAACACCCTACTTGCATGGAGGTTAAGATGTTTACTATAATAATTGTAATAGTGCCCTTTACTAGTCTCTAACCTCTTATTTTATTCTTCTTCTTCTTTTTTTTTTTTTTTTCTATTTTTGCTGTGCTTTGAGAAGAAATATAATATGTTGATTAAGAGAAGGAACTCTGAAGCCAGATTTCATGGGTTTGGATTTTGGCTTTTCCTCTATCTAGCAGTTTGACTTTGGGTAAGTTACTTAGCTTACCTGTCTCATGGGGTTATTGCAGTGATTAAGAGTTAATAAAAAGCACTCAGGACAGTATCAGCCATAGAAAGTACTACAAAAGTGTTTGATTTTACTATTTAAAATATTTATCAATACCTGATATAGTATGCATTTATTTATTATCTATTGTCCACCCAAATGTAAGCTCCCTAAAGGCAGAGATTTCATTTTATTCATAGCTGAATCCCTACTCTCTAGAAAGGCACTATCTCATAGAACTTTCTGTGATGATGGAATGTTCTATAGCTGTACTACAATACAGTAGCACTAACCACATGTAGGTATTGAGCATTTCAAATGTGGCTAGTGCTACTGAGGGACTGATTGGTACATTTTATTTAATTTTTAATTAATTAAAATTTAAGTAGTTACATGTGACTAGTGACCATGAGATTGGACGGCACAGACATTGCCTGGGACATTATAATAGGTACTCAACGAATTTTTGTTAAACAAGTGAATAACTACCAACCATTTAGAGAAAGCTAGATATTTTGGCAGGTAGAATGCTAAGCACTTTATATACATTATCTCATGCAAACCTCTCAACAAACCTATGAGGGAAATATTACTGTTCTCAATATATAGATGAGAACATTGAGGCACAGAGGAGTTAATTTGTCAGAGCCAGTAAATAGATTAGATTCCAGAACTGAGCCAATGACGTGAATTGAATTAATGACATGAATTGAATTCAACTCAGGTTGGTTACAATCCTCCAATTTCGGATTATCAGACTCCCAGTTTTTCTCCCAGGAAATGAAACTACCTTCCCTGTGCTATATCCAGCTCTCATACTACCCAGCCTCACGTATAGACTTTCCGACATTCCTAATGACAAATTCCTTGAGCGCAGGATCCACACCTCATTCTTACTTCATTGTCATCTATAGTGTTGGCACTATGTCAGAACCATTCTTCAGTAAATGCTGGCTGAAAGAGTAGAAGACAAATGGATGCTCAGGTGCATGTTTGTAAGGTTCTAAAGGAAGTTAATATCTAGTATCAATTTTACTCACACAAGAAGAAATCATATGAGCATTTACTGGCTTTAATGCTTTATCTTGTGACCACTGAACAGACCTTTTAGAACAAGTGTTGGCAAATCAGGCAGTAAATATTTTAGGCTTTGTGGGTCATAAGGTCTCTGTCACAACTGTCCAACTCTGCTGTTCTTGCATGGTAGCAGCCATAGACAATATGTAAATGATGACTATGTTGCAATAAAACTTTGTTTATGATCACCAAATTTTGAATTCATATAATTTTCATATCTCTGAAATATTCTTCCATTTTTAACCCTGAAATGTCGCAAAAAAACATTCTTAGCTTGTGGTCTGTACAAGAACAGGCAGCAAGCTGTAGTTGCTAACCTGTGGCCTAGACAGGCAAACCTAAGATTAGAAGCACTGGGTAAGGCCGTACAACTGTGTGGTGAAAACCCATTCAGAAGGGAAAGTCCAGGGTGAAATGCAGGAAGCTGTTCGTTTTCTTTTGTCCTCCACATTTTTCCTCCCCCGATCATTCTATATCTTTTTCCTGTTTGCTTTGCCGGGATTGTTCTCAATGTGCATACCTTCCCATACCTCAGGCGTTTTGTCTCTCGTGGCCATTTGTGTTTAAATTGAGGGTTTTGAGAAGACTGAAAAAATTCAAGACCCAAAGTAATAGCTTTCTCACGCATTGAGAGATGTCGTTCCATTGGTGTGAATAAGTCTCTGTGTACCCACCTGATGAAATATAATGCTGGCTTCTAGTTCCCTCACAAAAGAAACAGGCTTCCTGTTTGCGTGACTTGGGGGCGACTCCTGCTTTTCCGTGGCTGCCCATCAGTTGGCGCCTTTTGCCGTCCTTTTTCCCCAAGCCGGCTTTGGGGGCCGCGGTCGCTCCGCAGCTCGCGGGTCACATGGCCCGCCTGAGCAAGGGGAGCCCTGCGCCCGAGCTGCGAGGCGGGAGGAGGTGAGGCTCGGGCGCACACCCAAACCGCGCTGCGCCCGCTCCTTCCGGGCCCCGGCGATGGCGCCTCCACCGGGATGAGCTAGCCAGCCTGGGCGATACCAGAGGCGGCCCTCGGCGCGCGCAGGGGACCGAGCTGATCGCCCCAACCCGGTAGGTTTCTGTTGCGCACTATCTGCCCAGCCCTTTTGGCGCGGTGGTCGGAGCCCTGGAGAGACACCAGAGCGCGGGGACAAGGATTAGGGGTGGCCACAGCTGGCACAAGCAGGGCAGCTGGGGGTTGGGGAGAGGCGTCGCAGAGGGCCTGTGCCCCTGGCAGTGCGCCTCGGACAGGCGGGTTGCCTGGCGGCCCTGCCCGGAGCTCCGACCGCTTCCTGCCGGAGGATTGCGAGGTCCCGCAGGGTCCCCCGCGCGGCAGGCGCCCGCGTCAGTGCGGGGATGGTTGAGTGCAGCGGGGGCGCCTCCCTGGCCCTCTCCTGCACCAGCTGCGCTGACAGGCCAACAGAAGGACGCGAGCGGGGCGCGTGCCAGTCTGGGTAAGACCCTCGCCGAGCCTAGCAGGGCCGAAGCGCCAAGGGGCCTGGCGCCTAATGGCCGCCCGCAGAGGACCCTCGCAGCGCGTCCACACCTTAGGTTCGCCTGGCGCGCCGAGAGCGCGGCCGCGGTGTTGGGTTTCTGCGGGCGACCTCGCAGCCAAGGGCTGGGGGAGGGCGACTGGGCAGAGGAAGGCGTCCTTCCCAGCACCGGGAAAAAAACAGCAGAAGGGAAGAAGCGCAGCGATGGAGACGGTCAGCTCGGCCTACGGGTGGGAAACTGAGGCTCAAGCGTGGCAGGGACTGCCCAAGGTCAGCGACAGACACTAGATCCAGTGCCCTGGACATCGTCCCCCATTCTTTTTCCAAGAGGGAGGGTTAATTAGGTCCACCTGGGCGTGTCTCACCCTCTTTCTGGCCCTTGGCTCGGGCGTCGCCAGTGTCGCACTGCGCTCACGGTGTCTTGGGGCATGAGCTCCTGCAGGGTCGTTGTGACCCGCATCCCCTGCTCGACCCACACTCTCTCCGGGGGACTACAGGGCGGCTCCAATGATGATCTCACCATGCGGACCATTAGCAATACATGCAGGTGTGTGTGCGCGTGCATGTGTGTGTTTCTCCAAGAAAACTAATCCTTTTAAGGGGAAATAGCTTTTCTTTAGGGTTGAATTTCTAGAATGCACTGCACTAGGTACTTTATGAGGTGAGAAGAGAAAACTAACATTATTAGAATTATCAGAATGCTGTAAGGATACGCTTATTAGAAAACATCCAGGAAACAAAACTCCAAAGGAGAAATAAAATAAAAATAACTTAAAACTTCAACTTCTAGATGGTTTAGATTTTCTGCATATCTTAAAATTTTCTCTATGTATACACATTTGAAGTTTTGAATCAAAAGTGTGGACCAAGAAATGGTATCTTGTCTTAATTTGCATGTCTTTGATTACCGGTAGGAATTAACACTTTTTCCTCTGTGTGGTAGCCTTTTGCATTTCTGTAGATGAGTTGATTGTTAATTCTTCTTCCCGTTTTTCAGTTGGAGTATCTTTCTCTTCCTGGTTTTTAAGCACTTTATGTGTATTACACATTAAAGTAGTAATTATTTGTCACATGTTGCACTATAGCGAGTATTTTCTGTTAATTTTTACTAGTTCTAATTCCAAATGATCTTTTGGATATTTTGGTCTATTTTTTATTTTGATGGTTATAGGGGAATATAAATTTGACAAAACTCATCAAAATATATATTTAAGCGGTGCATTGTATTGTATGTAAACTGTACCTCAATAAAATTAATTTGTAAAGGCCTAGAAAATTATGATGCTGGGTAATGAGAGAGAATCTGCCTAGTCAGATAGTAAAACCTGTTATAAAGCTTTCATAATGAAAATGACATGGCACTGGCACCACAATGCAGGAAGAGACAGCTGCCAAAATCCACAAACAGATATATATATGTAATTTAATTTGTTATAGCTATAGCAATTTAAATCACGAATAAAAAAATGGACTTAACAGGTGCCCTGTCATGTTCACCTTCCCAGTGTCTAACACAAGACTCAGTGTTTAATCGAATGCTTAATTATGATTATAAAAGTAATGCTCTTTGCAGAAGTGTAGATATCAAAACAGGATATTGCCGTCCCCATGCGCTTCATTTCTTCTTCACTAAATTATACTCCACATTAAAAATAAAATGGTCATATCTCTGCACATTTTTCTGTAATTTGCACTGACATAGTTCACATTTCTCCCTTCTGGTCTTAGTCTACTTGAGCTGCTGTAACACATTCTCAAAGAGTAGGTGGCTTAAACAACAGACACATTTATTTCTCAAACTGCTGGAAGCTGGAAGTTCCAGATCAGGGTGCCAGTGTGGTCAAGTTTTGGTGAGGGCCCTCTTCCTGGTTTACATGTGAGAGAGCAGAGAAAAGAAGTGATCTCTCCTGTCTTTTCTTATAAGGGCACTAATAAAGAGCATGCATTACTGAGGTCTGCACCCTTATGACCTGATTACCTTTCAAAGACCCTGTCTTTGAATACCATCACATTGGAGATTAGGATTTATAACACGGATTGTGGCTGGGGAGGAGGAGGACAAACGTTCAGTCCAAAGCACAACCCTAGTTAGGATTTCTTTTATGTCAACATATTTAAACCTTTCTCGTTCTTCTTAACATGTTCATAGCATACCCTTTTATGATTCTCTAAAAATCTGTTCCCTTTGCTAGGTATTTCATTTGCCTGCAGTTCTTCCTTTCTTCCTTTCTCCCTCCCACCCTCTTCCTCACTCTCTCTCTCTCTCTTTCTTTCTTCTTTCTTTCCTTTCTCTTCCTTCCTTCCTTTCTTCCCTTTCTCCCTCCATTCCTCTCCCCCTCTTTCTGTCTTTTTCTTTCTACTACAAACAAAACAGCAATGAACATTTCTCATCCATCTTTGGTAGCATGTGTTGGCATTTCTGCAGAGTAGATTCCTAGAAGTAGGATCGTTATGTCAAAGGGGATGCACATATAAAATGTTTATAGATACTGCCCAGCATACCAACATTTCCTCCAAAAACTGCACCAATTTATATGAAAGTGCCTAGTTGTTGAACTGTGCCACTCCCTCTTGAAGTAAATTAAATTCAGCTGTTAAATACAGAGATTAATTATGGAGAAAGGGATCTCTAGTACCAAGTCTTTTCACCTGAGCATTATTTTTCTGTTTATTAATGACTTTTTAAATACCCTGTGGTAGAATTTTGTAGTATATGTATATATTCTGCATATTTCTGAAATTTATTTCTAGGTATTTGGGTTATTTTTTCCCTTTTGATTGGGATTTTTTATTCCCTTAGTTCACTGGTGATTGTTTACATGAAAGCAATCATTATAATATAGGTACAGATATGAACATGTAATGCATATATATAGTACCTGTGTATATATACTTGCTATGTATATTATATATTATTTTTACATATTAATTCTGGTACCAACCATGTTTTGAAAGTCTATTGCCATTTCTAATGGTTTTTCAGTTGATTTTCCTGGGCTCCAAATTTGTGCAGGCAGTAGTGCATATTGGTTGAGAACATGGGTTCCGGACACAGTCTGCCTGGGTTCAAGTTTTGCCACCTGCTTAAAAGCTTAGTTTTTTAAAGTATAAAATGGGCTTAGTAGTCATACTTCTCAAAGGCTTTTTATGAGGATCAATAGATGAAATGCTTAGAACAGTGCCTGACACGTAAGTGCTCCACAAACATTTACAAATAAGTCCATCTCTACACAGTATATTACCAGCTCTTTGATACTACCAATTTTATAGCTGAGGACCTGAGACCCATAGAGGTCAAAGAGGCTATTTATTTGCTCAACAAGCATTGAGTGTCTTTTATGCATAGTTCTATGCTGGGTCTGTGAGGGATACCAAAGATAAATCAGACTAAATCTACTAAAAAGAGATTTAAAAGTCCAATCAGATCATAAGTCAAGGGCCATAAACAAGGCCATGGAAGACAACAGGCATCATGGAAAAACATGAGCTTTGAAATTTATACTTGTGCTTGAATTTCCTGCTTGCAACTTGGTAGCATCAGTTTTTTCAACTAAATGGGATTAATTCCATGCTATATGTAGTATGGCCTTAATAAGCGGTAGCTATAAATAGATGAGTCTGAAGTAGAAAGTGACAAATGAATGCCCTGGAGGAAAAGTTCATAGAAAGGGCCCCAGTACTTAAGGGGAAAAAAGAGATTCTTTCTGGTTGGAGAGGTTAGGGTTGGCTTTTGGAAGAGGTACCTTTTGAGCTGATTCTTGGTTGAGTTAGACAGTGTGAGGAGCAGAAATGCAGCTGGAAAGATAGTTGGAACTGGATTGTGAAGAATGTTGGCAAATAATTTGAACTTTATTCTACAGTCATGGGGGAATCATTGAATAGTTTTACAGAAAAGAGTGCCATGTTCTGACTTATGCTTCAGAGTATCAGATGGATGCTGATCAGGTAAAACATCACCATCATCTGCACAGTGTCCTATGCTGACAAAGGGCTGTCATAGCTATTGTCTCTTCATCGTCACAATGGCTTTTTTTTTTTTTTTTTTTGGGACACAGTCTGTGTTGCCAAGCTGGAGTGCAGTAGCACAATCTCGGCTCACTGCAACCTCTGACTGCCTGGTTCAGCGATTCTTCTGCCTCAGTCTCCTGAGTAGCTGGGATTACAGGCACGTGCCACCACGCCCAGCTAATTTTTGTATTTTAAGTAGAGACGGGGTTTCACCATGTTGGCCAGGATGGTCTCAATCACCTGACCTCATGATCTGCCCACCTTGGCCTCCCAAAGTGCTGGGATTACCAGCGTGAGCCACTGCGCCCAGCTGAAGTATCTTTTATTTTCCTATTTCACAGAGAAATAAAATAGGCTCGGAGAGATAAATGTTTTTTTTTTAATACAAATTGATCGAATTAGTGAGCGTTAGGATGAGAACTGGACCCAGATCTTTTGGCTTGTGTTGCTCATTCTGGAGGTCAGAAGCTCCACTAGGAGCCTATTGCAATCAGCTGGCTTGGAGGTGCTGAGGAGGAACTAGAGTGTGGCAAGCAGAAAGGCTTGACAAGGGGAAGGGGAGGGGAAAAGAGGAAAAGAGAGGCATAATAAAAGAGGCTGTAGAGGTGGGATTAGGAAGTGAGTGCATGGAGGTGAGAAGTTAGAACTAACTAGTGTTTTAGACTGGGTTGCCTGGGAAAGTGGTGGTGCCATACATATAGTGGATTTGGGAAACATAGAACATTCTTGAGCACTCATCCCCTGACTCACACCCTGGTATTGTGTCTCCCACACCCATGGATCCTTTAGTTTAATTTTCAGAAGTTGCACTAAAATTTAACTGTTGTTGTCGCTCCATTTATTCATCTAAGCCCTAGTTCATGTTCATTTCTCAGAGTCTGTGGCCTTTACTGTCTTCCCTGAGCCCTATACTCTAGACATGGTAACAGGTAAAGAATTCTGTTTAGGGAAGGGCTGTGTTTCAAAGAGCACATGCAAAGCATAGGTAAGAACTGGGTATGTATTGTTCTGTAGAATTGGAGCTGTAATGGTGCAATCGTTAGTAGGTCAGCTCAGAGGTGCCAGTCAGTTCACAGTGTCTCTGGAGCGTGGGCCTCAGTCTGTGACATCATGGGCAACTGGAATTCCGGAAAAAGACAATCAGAGTGGTAACATAGACATAGCCCTCTTGTCTCACCCTTATGATTGGGCTGGGAGTAAAAAAAAAAAACAACTTCCCCAAACTAGCAGTGAAAAGTCCTATGTTTTCATATCTGTTCCCCTAAGGCTATTTATCTTTTATCTTTTTGTTTGTTTGTTTGTTTGTTTGCTTTGTTTGAGACAGGGTTTTTCTCTGTCACCCAGGCTGGAGTGCAGTCGTACGATCGTGGCTCACTGCAGCCTCAACCTGCTGGGGCTCAGGCAATCCTTCTGCCTCAGCCTCCTGAGTAGCTAGGACTACAGGAACATGCTACCATGCCTGGCTAATTTTTGTATCTTTTGTTGAGTCTGGGTTTTGCCATGTTGCCCAGGCTGGTCTGAATCTCCTAGGTTCAAGCCATCCACCTGCCTCAGCCTCCTAAAGTGCTGGGATTACAGGCTTGAGCCACCACATCCAGCTATTCATTCTTCTTAAAACCAGATCAGGGCCGGGCGTGGTGGCTCAAGCCTGTAATCCCAGCACTTTGGGAGGCCGAGACAGGTGGATCACGAGGTCCGGAGATCGAGACCATCCTGGCTAACACGGTGAAACCCCATCTCTACTAAAAAAAATACAAAAAAACTAGCCGGGCGAAGTGGCGGGCGCCTGTAGTCCCAGCTACTCGGGAGGCTGAGCCAGGAGAATGGCGTGAACGCGGGAGGCGGAGCTTGCAGTGAGCTGAGATCCGGCCACTGCACTCCAGCCTGGGCGACGGAGCAAGACTCCGTCTCAAAAAAAAAAAAAAAAAAACCAGATCAGTAAGGTGAAATACATTATAGGTGCCATTGGACACCACAGCCTACTGTGCAACAATTGGTTAAATCTTCTAAGAAAATATTTTAAACAATAAATAAGAACATACTCCTGAATGACTCTATAACTCAGTGTGGTTGGATTTTCAGCAAAGCAGTCATCTAATCTTGAATAAAGGATCTGATCCCAGCTCCTGTGTCCTAGGTGGGTGTGGTAGATTGCATTATTGTTCAACATGCCCCTCCCTGGAGTACATTTCTGCCCCTCCCTGGAGTAGATTTTCTGCCTCTCCCTGGAATACATAGATTTCTCCAGTCATTGGCTTCAGGTGTGGCCATGTATCTTTTGGCACTCCCTTCTTGCAGGAAAATGACATAACTCTGCTCTGTTGAACTTAAGTTATTATGTGACTTGTTCCAGTCAGTGAAATGTGGGTGGAAGTGATCTGTGTCACTTTTGAGAAGTAGCTTTGAGAGCCCGCTTGTGGTGCACTATTCCCCTTTTTTCTCTCTACCACAAAACCAGCAATGTTAAAACAAAACAAAACAAAAAAAAAACAGTTCTATCTGCCTGGGTCCTAGAGTACAAACAGCAGGCAACAGAGGCACAATTGACCTATAAAGGACAAGTAATGTGAGCAAGAATTAAACCCTCGTTCTTATAAGCCACTGAGACTTTTGGGATCATTACTGAAGCCTGTCCTTATTCGTGCAGTGTGTAATGATTGGGGTTGGGGGCTGAGTCTTAAGCCCTGTGAGCATTCTAAAAAAATTTCCATACTCTCTGAGCAGATTGCTAGATGCTTTCTTTTCTCCTCAGGATTTGGAAATCGGCCTGTTGCTTTTTTTTTTTTTTTTTTTTTTCCTATTGAATCTTCACTTTCCCCTCCTTCTGCTCTGTGGGAGGAGTAAATCTTCCTGTCCCATTGTTTTGGCCAATGGATGATGAGTAGACTTGATTTGTGACACACTGAAACAAGGATGTAAATGTACCTGCATGTTTTGACTTGGCCTCTTGTGCAGCTTCCAGGCAACATAGGAACACGTGGCCAGGTGACTGTTTCTTCTGCAGCTCAATCTAGAAGGAGGGGCATGAACTAATTCTGACCTACATTCTGGAGCTGACCCCAACTGAGCCACAGCTATCCACAAACCCGTATGCAAGAAATACGTGTTATTACTTTAAGTTATGAAGATTTGAGACTGTTAATCACCCCAGCAAAGCTGATTAATATAGGCAGGGACCATGTGTCCTCTGAACCGAATCCCTCTCTTTAACTTATTGTCAGTGGAACAGCAGTCGCACAGACATAATTTTAAAGTGAAGGACTATGTAAGATGTTAATGATTTTATCATCCCCAGTAGGATAAATTCCCTGGGACCCAAGGTTATCTTGATGTCAGTACTAGGTGTTCCCATTTCTTTCCCCTGTGACATATCATAGTAAGTGATAGTTCTTACTATGTGCCTGGCATTTTCCAAACTGCCTGCCCCATCTCATTGTCTCTAGTTCCCTCCTCTAGATTGATCCAGCTCCCTTGTGGTAATAGCAAAGGCAGGGATAATAGTCTGAGCAGAAAGCCACTTGAATGCCTCCTTTTCCAAGGCCAATACTGCAGGAGTGTGAGCTCAGCCCAATTCTAGTATTGGCTTCCATTAGTAGTGATGCGGAACTGGTGAGACCACGTGGATGTGCAACCACATGATTTGTTAACTCCATTGCCCTGAGCAAAGCAGAGGAAGAAGCAACCAGTCTGCAATATAATGGACGTTCACAAACCAGCAAGACTGGGGTTGCATACTATTCAAACCTCTCTTTGCTTTGTTCCCTCTTCGGGTACTATCCTGATCTCTTTGTATTAGGATAGTCTGTCTCACCTTTGAGTCCCATAGTACAATCTGCTTCTGTGGCTGAAATGAAACTTGTTTCTCTACTTGAGAAATTGTCATGTCACTGTCCTATAGACATTTGATATTCTACACAACTGTAGAGGCTAACTGCTGTAATAAAGTCCAAAAATGATTGGTGTCTAGACAGAGTGGTTTATGTGTTGCTCACAACACAGTCCACTCTAGTTTGGGAGGGTACTGGGAGGTGGGCAGTGGGAGGGACATCTGTTCCATGCAGTCCCAAAACTGGGATATGTATATACAGGATTCAAGGACCCAGGCTTCTGCCATCTGGTGACTGTACCTTCCTCTAGATCCACCAGGGCTCTCCATTCAGCTGGCAGATGGGGAAAGAGAAAGTCAAAATGGCACATCTGTTCTCAACTACCTTGTCCCAGGTGTCACCCCTGTCACTTTGCTGACAAGCCCTAGTCACATGACTCCACCTGGAGAAGGCAAGCTAGGAAATGAGGTCTTTCTGTGTGCCCAAGGGGAGAGCATGGATATGAGAGCACTGGCTGAGTCTGCTCCACAGCAACCTCACGGTTCCTGGGCAATCCTCCCTTTGCAATAACTCACAAACTACACAGTTTTCCTCCAAATGTGTATAAACCTTATTATGCTTCTGAGGCAGGAGATTTACTTTCTGTACTGCAGACACCATTTAGTTTTGCATTGACCCTACTAGCAAAGGACTGGGTTTGTCCTTTTAATTCTGTTTTTTGGCAGTAGTCTGTTTTTCATCAGAACATCAGACCTGCTTACTTCTGAAATATTATTATGAGTTTGAACATATGGATAGATTATAATGGCATTTTTACTCTGCATTATTTTGCTTTCTAACGTATTTTATATTCACAGTAACCCTAAGAGATAGATATTATTATTTCCATTTTATTTATTTATTTATTTTTTTGAGACGGAGTCTCACTCTGTCGCCCAGGCTGGAGTACAGTGGCCGGAGCTCAGCTAACTGCAAGCTCCGCCTCCCGGGTTCATGCCATTCTCCTGCCTCAGCCTCCCGAGTAGCTGGGACTACAGGCGCCCACCACCTCTCCCGGCTAGTTTTTTGTATTTTTAGTAGAGACAGGGTTTCACCGTGTTAGCCAGGATGGACTCAATCTCCTGACCTCGTGATCCATCCGTCTCGGCCTCCCTAAGTGCTGGGATTACAGGCTTGAGCCACCACGCCCGGCCTATTATTTCCATTTTAGAGCTGAGAAATATAAGATATAGAGAGGTAAACTGACTTCCCAACAAGTGAGAGGTAGAGCTAGGATTCATACCAACATGAGCCTGGCCTCAGGCCCATGCTCTGAATCATTACATCACACAGCATTTTTTCCTGGACCAAACTGAGGACAACTGTCTCTTCCATATTCACCTCTGCCTTTCCTTGCCCCACCCCAACCCCTCTTCATTGAACAGCTACTCATGGATCTTCCTCCAGATGTTTCCTCCCTCCCCAAGCCTAGGGCTCTAGAGTTTGCTTGCTTATGGGAGATACTTCCTCTCATCGGTTCCCATGATCTACAAAAATAAAATGGGAGAACAATCAGGATTAAATTAATATGGAATGTTAAGTATAGTTGCTTGAGATTAGAAACATATGAATGGAAAATGACATTAAAAAACAAAGATATTTCAGAGACTCCTAAGTATTCCTTCTCTTGTTGGACAAGTTTTTTTTTTTTGGAAATTGCTATATGCACAGTTAATCAAGTATTTTCTGGGCCCTTATGCTGGAACTTGCTCTAAATCTGTATATTTCCTTTGTGCCAAGCCTTGCTTTTTGCCCCTGTTTTAAGAACCTGTTGTCTGTGTACCTGGTGAATAATGATCCTAACAGCCTACCTGGAGATTTTCTGGCACATTGTAGACCTAACTAAGTATCTTTAGGCATGGAGACTTGGTTGGATGCACTGAGATCTTGTTACTCATAGAAATGATAAACACACCCCAGAGGCTGTTAGCAGACACAACCAAAGAATGGTTTACTGCAGAAAATACTTTAAAGTCTCTAAAAGCTACAGAGCCTTGAATTATAATTTCTGGTTTGATATGTGCTGAGTTCAGTTCTTGGCCCTTGTTTTTTTGTTTGTTTGTTTGTTTTTTGTTTTTTAAAAAAAGAAAAATGTTTACCCTTACCATTCCCTACTTCCTCTCTCTTTAGGTTTGATTTCTGATGACTCTGGCCTGAGTTCCAGGATGGTTTTTTCTTGGGACCAGACATGAACAAAAGTTGACCTCATGAGCACTTCAACCTCTCCAGCTGCCATGCTCCTCCGGAGGCTGCGGCGACTCTCCTGGGGCAGCACTGCTGTCCAGCTCTTCATCCTAACAGTGGTGACATTTGGCCTGCTGGCCCCCCTGGCCTGTCACCGACTTCTACACTCTTACTTCTATCTGCGCCATTGGCATCTGAACCAAATGAGCCAAGAGTTCCTGCAGCAAAGCTTGAAAGAGGGCGAGGCTGCCCTCCACTATTTTGAGGAGCTTCCCTCTGCCAATGGCTCAGTGCCCATTGTCTGGCAGGCCACCCCCCGGCCCTGGCTGGTGATCACCATCATCACCGTGGACAGACAGCCTGGCTTCCACTACGTCCTGCAGGTGGTGTCCCAGTTCCACCGGCTTCTTCAGCAATGTGGCCCGCAGTGCGAGGGGCACCAGCTCTTCCTGTGCAACGTGGAGCGCAGTGTGAGCCATTTTGATGCCAAGTTGCTCTCCAAGTATGTCCCTGTGGCCAATCGCTATGAGGGCACTGAGGATGATTATGGTGATGACCCTTCAACCAACTCATTTGAGAAAGAGAAGCAGGACTATGTCTATTGCCTGGAGTCATCCCTGCAGACCTACAACCCAGACTACGTCCTGATGGTGGAAGACGATGCTGTTCCAGAAGAGCAGATCTTCCCAGTCTTGGAGCATCTTCTGCGGGCTCGCTTCTCTGAGCCACATCTCAGAGATGCCCTTTATCTCAAGCTCTATCACCCCGAGAGGCTCCAGCACTACATCAACCCAGAGCCCATGCGGATCCTGGAGTGGGTTGGTGTAGGCATGTTGCTGGGGCCCTTACTAACCTGGATATACATGAGGTTTGCCAGCCGCCCAGGGTTTAGCTGGCCTGTAATGCTCTTCTTCTCCCTGTATAGCATGGGTCTGGTGGAGCTGGTGGGTCGGCACTATTTCCTGGAACTGCGGCGGCTGAGTCCTTCCCTGTACAGTGTGGTTCCTGCCTCTCAGTGTTGCACCCCAGCCATGCTCTTCCCTGCACCTGCGGCCCGCCGGACCCTCACCTACCTGTCCCAAGTGTACTGCCACAAGGGCTTTGGCAAGGACATGGCACTGTACTCGCTGTTGAGGGCCAAGGGAGAGAGGGCCTATGTAGTGGAGCCGAACCTCGTGAAACACATTGGGCTCTTCTCCAGTCTCCGGTACAACTTTCATCCCAGTCTCCTCTAGGGTGCCAAGAAATGCCTTTCTGAAGTTGGCCACTTCTTGAAGATTCAAATATTGATCTCTTTATTTAGACATGGTTGCCTGCAGGTATTTCACTGTTTGCTGTTGTTAGAGATATAGGCACTGGGGCAGCTGAGGAACATGAATAAGTCAAGAGCCTTGGCTTTGGTAGCCTCCTGGCAGGAGCAGCAGTTTGCCACAGGTCCGGACCTCTCCCTCCACACAGCCACACTGCCTCATGCAGTCTGACCCACCCAGTGAGGGTGCATTTGAACCCCGGTTATATTCTCCATCTGTTTTTAAGCTCTGCTTTGTGATAGAGCTTGTGACTGCCAAAAATCTTGTGCACAGTGATATGACTGTTTTAGGATCTTAAGGGTAGGATTTTGTGAAAGGTGAGATCCTTTGGAATTGAGTTCTTTCTCATTGGGTATGAAAATGGATGTATGTTTAGAATATATGCCTAACGAGGCAGGACCATGTAGATAGATTCCATCTATTTCCTTGACCTGGTATAATAAAAACTGATAAAAGCCGTGCAGTACCCAGCATCTTGGAGGCAGGTGATCTGGCTTTTCTGTTACCTGGCATTTTCATTTCCTGTATATCTGTAGTGCACTGATAATTGATATTGTTAATGAGAACTTTAAGGCACGACAAGATCTGGAAAAGCTTCTGAACCATCAAAGTCAGATTGCTTATGTTGAGTAGTGATTTAACATTGAACATTTCTGTACTACTCTGACTCTTTGAAAACTGGACATTTCAGAATGATATAGTGTGGATGAGCTCTTTACAAGTGGCATATCATTTTTCCTGACTTTGTTGGCTGACTGCTTACCCTTATTTCTTTTTCTTCTAGGTAGCATGATGTTATAGGAAAAAAAAAAAAGCATGGACTGAAGTCAGAAGACCTGAACTTTTATTTCAGATCTCTGCCATGCCCTAATGATGTGACCACCTTGGGCAGGTCATATAGTCACTCTGGGTCTCAATTTCTTCACCTGTAAAATGAGGGCAGTAATACTTACCTGTTAAAGTTGCCTTGAGGATTAAATGGCAGAATATATGTAAAACACCTAGCAAGTGCTTAGTCCATAGAAGACACTTGGCAAACTTTTCTCTCCTATAATAAACATATACAACTCAAGCTTATTTCAGAAAAAGATATTGGTGATGTTGTTTAAAGTATGAGATAGGGCATGGGGCTGCCACCTGTGTACCAGCTATTCCAGACCAAGCCCTGTTAGAATAAAGACTGACTTTTCATGATGACCTCTGAAGGATGTGCAGCTCAGCTTTCTAGCCCCACCTTCAGCCAAGCCAAAAAGAAGAATTGTTCATTCAAACTGGAAATGATCTCCAGCTTGGAAATGAGACTCCTCATGAGCTTATTCTAAGATCAGAGTCTGAAAATTACTTTTCTCAAAAGTTACAAATAAAGGTATTTTAACAGTACCATCAGACTTGTGACCAACAAGTTTCTTTATGAGGATGGATGATGACAAAGAGTTCAAGCAATTGTCCAGTTTGTTTCGATGCCACAGTTTGCTTTTAAATTCCCACAGGGAACTTGCATCTGGAGACCCACTCAACACAGAGGGATTACATAAAGGTTGATCACCCACACTCTACAGATGAACAATTTGAGACCCAGAGAGGCTAAACTGCTCTCCAGGTCACAAACCTGACAGCAGCATAGCCAGAATGGGAACAGAGCTCTTCTGACTTCAAGCCCCTGCACTTTTTTCTTAACCAGATTAATTTTATGAATATCTATGTGGTCAAAGTCTCTTTTGTAAAATCTGAGTATAACCTGGACTAAATCATGTCTCTGTAAGCTAAGATGGCAGAAACACATTGTCATGTTAGTTTGGGGGAACAAACAGATATAAGTATGTGTTGTAATGTTATAGTGAGCTGTTGTGTATCCCCCAGCAATGTCCAAAGTGATCAGAGCTACTAGATGACTTATTACAATGTTCAGATCCCACTCCTTCATTCCTTCTCTCCCAGTGACCTGTCTACCCCCAAGCTTTAGAACTGAACCATCTCCAACTTAGAACTCATTAGAGTTTGTTGCATTAGTGATTGGATCTCCTCATGAAAGTTTTTTGACCAATGACAGTGGAGCCACTTTAAGCTAGCCAGGCCCAAGATAGGGAAGCACTGCTGGTTTACATTTCTCCTCTTTCTAATTCAGTTCTCTATTGCATGCAGTCATTCCTTCCCTTGACTTCTCCATTATGGAAGGCTAAGGCTATCCCTCCTTGTCCAGTTTCTCTACACACTAACATGCCTTTTCCCCATGGAGTTGAACTCTGTCAGCTGTCCTTGGACATTTTCTGCAGATGCAGGCTTAGTTCTGCTCTTTTGTTCCTACTCACTTCTAAATCTTCCTCCACTTAATCCCTTATTCTTACAAGGAGTCTAATTTTTGTGTATTGTCCTTGATTAGGGCAGCTGACAGCTTTACACCAAAGCTGAAGTCTCTCATTTAAAATCCTAAGCAAGGGGCTAGAGAGAACTAAGATATCCTTCCCATATCAAGGGACATAGGTTACTAGAAGGGTGGAGGTCTCTTAACAGGCTCACTCACCTTTCAGAGTTTAAATTTTGATCAGGCTTAAGAAGCTCTCTCTTGTGACTGACTGTATTTGCATAGACATGTCTGTGAAAATAAAAGCACCCATTTTACTAAGGCTTTCTGAGAAGACTTTTATTCTTCTCTGTCTTTCTTTTTCATGAATGGATTTTTCTGATGTAGCAAATAGTATGGGCTCCCTGCCCCACCACACAGTTTTGTAGTCCCAAGGGGGCCATTCAGAAGTATTGGCTGCTGCCTGCACAAGCAACCGTGACCACAGATCCCTGGATCACAGCAATGTCAGAGCATTTATCCATCTTTTTCTGGGTTAAAAAAATTGGGGGTCACCCCTGCCACCCAAATCATCTTACCTCTCATCAGTATACCCCTGGTACAATGTGGTGATCATTCCTTCACTCTTTCCTGCCTCTTGGTCTAAAAGTCTTAGAATAAGTTGCAGAGCTGCCATGTGTGGTATTCCTGTCTGTGCTCCACTGACAACCCCAAGAACATGCAGCAACACCTGTAGCCTGAAAGAAAAAACCCAGCCTTCCCCTGAGAGAAACACACAGGGATCCCTCACACCCATCCTCCCCCAACTCCCAACACACACTGAAAACAAAACCACTAGCAACAACAAAGTAAAAAACAGCTGTGTGTGATGATGGAAAGACTTCCTCTTAGCACTTGCCATTCCCTCTGCTTGGAATGCATGTAAAAAACATTGTATAGGGGCTAAAATTGTGCACTGTAACCAATTCTCAGTCCCTAGACCCCATTCTTTGTTCCTCTTCTTCCTGATTTTCTTCCCTAGACCATTTCTTTGTGTCCAGTATTCCTTTTGTTCGTAGGCAGTTCCACTGTGAGTCTTATACTCTTTCTCATTCATTCATTGCTCACTATGTGTCATGTTCTATTCTAGGTGTTGGGGATATAGCAATGAACGAAACAGAAGACCCCTGACACTGAGGAGCTCATGTTCTATGGGGAAGGTGAAGTGGAAAAAAACTCAAAAGAATAAATAAGGGAATTTCAAGAGGTTTCAAGGAAATCTAACTAGGTAATGTGATAGCAGGACCTAGGGATAGGGAAGGGCATGGACTGCTTTAGATAGGATGGGAAATCTGTTGGGGGATATTAAAATTGAACTAAGACCTGAATTACATGGAAAAATTCAGTCAAAGGAAAAGCATTCCAGAGAGAGAGAGCACGGCAGTGCAAAGGCCTTGCAGAAAGAACCACTGTTAAAAGTCCAAGGATGAAAGAAAGCCAGTGTAGCTAGAGCTTGAAGAAGGAGGATGGGAGTGGGAAGACATGAAGGTAAGTTTGCAGGGGCCAGATCATATCAGGCCTGGAAGGTGATATAGCTGTTTAAAGTTTATTCTAAATGCAATGAGAAACCAGCTCCTAGCAAGATAATAAATTGCTTTGCCAGAACATTAACTGTCCATTATTTAGTTCCTTTGCATTCTGCATAGGCTGGTCTTACAAAGGTTCTGTGACAGTAGGGCATCCATTAAAGATCTATTACATAAGGGAACGTGGGACATGCAAGAACCGATGACAAATGTAGAAACCCTCTGCTTCACTTGGCATCTCTGTCCTTTTCCTCATCTTTCTGATATTTTAAAGCTACTGTGTTCCTACATACATATGCTATCTGTTCCTTTATTCTCTGATAAATTCATCATTTGCCTTTACATTTTCATCATTTTCACCCCCAAATGGTTAACGTAAGTGCTTTTTTTGAAATCATTTTATTCTTTCATATTTCTGTGTCGGTCGCTAGGAGAAAGACCAGGAAAATCTGTTAAATTCTAAACCAAAAATTCCCATTCACTGCAGAGTGATGATTCGCAACACTGCTGCGATTCAGGCAATGGGGTGTCCTGAAGCGACAGCACATCACCACTGCAGTCCTAATAAATTAAGTCTTTTTGTTTTGTTTTGTTTTTTTGGTCTGCTAGCTCTATTAAATTTCCAATCATCTTTGACATAGTCCCAAAGATTTTCCAAATAGTATCCAACCTAGTAAACAGTTTCAGTTAATAAGCATTTTTCAGCAAATTCTATTATAGTTGGGATAAAAATATCCAGTGACTTAAAATTACCCAACTTTACGTCATGTGGTGTTGTAACTCAACAGTGCATCGTACAGTATATAAAAATCCCACAGTAATCAACTCCAATTAAAGTGCCTCTCCACCTAAATTAAATTACCAGTTAAATAAATTCTCCCAAATGATGAGTGTATCTAAGGTAAATTAGATTAGTTCTATCAAACTTGTATTCTTCATTTGCACTGTGATATTCTCACCATTTTTCTTCAAATAACACGAATGCATAATGCAAATGTTTCCATTAAACAAACACCAAAATCAGTTAACAATTTTTAAGCAAACAGCTGTAATCTAATTCCCCATTGTGGTTTTTTGTTTGTTTGTTTCGTTTTTTTACCTGCAAACATTGGCTGCCATTTAATTTTGGAAAAGAAATACACAGAATTTTCAGTTTTCTTATTAGGCATGTTATTCACAGATTTTGGGATTCAATGTTTCTAGCTTTACCCCAAACAGGGCAAAATTTCTGGTTAACCAGTTTTCAAGTCAACCAGTCCGTGTAGATTTATTTCCAGGAATGTGTGTGTGCAATGCCTCTTGTCCTTCTCAACCCTAACCTTCTCCAGCCCCAGTGTATCCAGAATCCATTTCCCACTGGAGTTCAGCAAAAGTTTGGCTTCCATTTAGCTCCCCCTCCAAATAAGTTTATAAAAGAGGAGGCAGGCTTTCATCTCCTTTCTGGATCGTACACATAGAATACATCTAAATTTTAAAAGCTATGTATGTAAAAAATGGTGTGTGTCTGTATCACATTCAAAATCTAGTTCATGTACTATTCTGCAAGGAAATACATCAAACAAATTAATCATGAGTAAACCTAAATTTAGCAGTTTATCCTTATCTTAATGCATACCTAAATCCTGTTTGCGATATTCACTCAAATGACTCAAGTTTTCTCCTTTTTAATCTCGTTGAACTTTTAGCTGAAATGCCGCAATCTGCAGAAACACATTTCCGTGTTTGAATCAGGAAAGGCTTGGAAGAGATTAGAATAACATATTTCATTTTACCAGTTAACACCACAGGAAGAACTATTTCAACCAAACTAACCCCTTCTTGTCACACTTAAACGTTAACCTTAACCCCAATGTAGACACATACTAAAATTCAAAATTGCATCCCAGGAGGCCTTTAGGACAAATTAATTTTTGTTCTGTGAAAGGCACCTCGTGTCATGTTTCATATCAATTTACATTTATTGAGTGCCTACTGAGTGACAGGTGCTGTGATCAGTGCTGGAGACTCAAAGGTGAGTGAATAAGACATGCCTTCTTCCTTTCAGAACCTTGGTCCCAGTGAGGGAGTTAGCAACGTGGGGTAAGTCCTGAGATGGCAGGATCACACGGTGCTGTCTATAAATTGCCCCAAAGCACTGAGACTGTAAGTCATCCCATCTCCCTTAACTTCTCTGCAACCTCTTTTCTGAGGACAACATGATCCAACAAAAAAGTCTCCTACCGACAAAGAGAATGTTTGACACAAACACTTATTTTCAGAAACAGTTGTCTCCCAAAGCACTTGGCTTGTCCAAAGATGACTTACCTTGTTGGCAGTCCCTTGCCACACCTGTCTCAAAAAACAATCAAGCTGAACCCAAAGAGTTTCATTGTCCACCCCTCCTTGCTGACAGAAGCTTGCTGATCTGCAAATGGAGAGAGGACTGGGAAGGTCACAACTTGTCCTTGCTCCCTCAAGGTAAGTGTCATCCCGTAAAGCTTGCCTGCAGCCTCATTGCCTTTCCCAAGTCTTGTGCCAAGTCAGTGCTTCTCCTATCATAACTTCACTGTAGCTGGTTGCGAGTTGGATTCAGTCTCCTGGAGTTCCCCTCACAGAATGACTACAGCTCACCCATCACATGATGTAAGAGTGCCCTTCTTTGAACCCTGCAGAGTTTTTAACCGATGACCACATATTTCTTCCACCTGTTCTTGTCAGTGTTTCCATAGGGACCCACAGATCTGAAAAGACACATTCCTTACTTTTAAAAATTAATTTGTTTAGACAACCCACACTGGTATTGGCCAGAGTCCTCAGACTGGCTCTGAGGATAGCTAACTAAGCTGCTGCTCCAAAATGCTGGAATATGTCATCATTCACAACCATTGTTCATAACCATTTGACTACCCTAAACACCCTAAACCTTACCTTCAAGGATTCTCTCATCTGAATGAACTAAGCAGAATAAACCGAACAGTAAGAGTAGGGCTTGAAATCCAATTCTTAACTAATTAGAAAGCATGTATGAGCTAAGAGTTTCTTATCCCTTGCCAGGAGGGAAATGGAGAAATTTGATTTATATGTGAAAATTCTGCTTTTCAGCTTTCACTTGCCAAGGACAGGACAACTCAAATGAAAAGAAAAAATGGTGTTATCCACTTATTTTCCCAAAAGAGATGTTTGGAATGCTTTTTTACATTCTCTTCATACATGGGCAGAGTTTGTGCTGTAAATTTTGCAAGTTGACTTCAGTGCAAGAGATGGTCGCAGCATTAGGATGCATTCACTGGCAAGTAACAGAATCTAGTCTCCCGGGGGCTTAAGCAATAATGACATTTAATTTTCTCACCTGGCAAGAGGTCTGGAGAAGGCAGTTGCAGCAGTGCAGTGATGTCATCTAGGACTCAGATTCTGTCTGCTTTTCTGTTCTGCCATCTTTTGCCACCTCAGCTTCTGCAGCTTCAAATATCATGTCCTCACAGAGCTGCATCAATGAGAGTAGGAAGGGGCTGCGACAAAAAGCTTCCTCTTGTAAAGTCCTTTGGTGGTTGTTTTGTTTATTTTCCTCCTTCCAGGAAGAGCAATTTCAAGAAGTCTCCCAGCAGACCTCTCCTTTTGCTTCATAGGGCCAGAAATAGGCCACATGCCCACTCCTAGACCAATCACAGGCAAAGGAAAATAGGACAAGCCCAGTTGCAATTCGTTCCCTTGGGGCTTGGATAGGGGCCCATCTTCTATGATCTCAGTGGCTCCCTACCCACCACCTAAACAAGATGGGGCTTTTTTCTGGCCAGAAAGAAGAGGCACATGGATAGCTCTTTGGTAAAATGTGAACAGTAACTGCCCTGTTGCTGGGGGAAGTGATCAAGATTTTTTAATATCCTTTCTGCTCATGCCATTTTATTTAGAAATTGAAGTAACATGGAAATTTATTTTAATATGGTCATACGGTTAAGTCAGGCACATTATTGAAAACATATTCTAGCTGCTACAAGATTAACTGAAGATATCAAAGCACTTTGAGAGGCATAGCTTCTTAGATTCCTGGTGGCCCATAAGATTGCATTTTCTTTCTCATATGATAAGACATCTGAACAATTGAACATGAAACATCATGGAAACAATAAGATCATTGTTGCTACTTTCAAGGAAGTACAGATAATCAAATTCGAATTGGACATGGGATTGACCAGATGGCAATGTAAACTTGTGCTTATCTTCAACTATTGTGGAATTGTTTTGAATCGTTGATTTGGGGCCCATGAAGAGCCTAATATTTTTTTGAAAATAAATTCACAATTTCAGAAAGTAGTCATATGGATTTCGATGTATAGTATAAATCATGCTGTAAATTTCTGAAGCTCTTTTTGTCATGCAAATATTAATACATCTGCGTCAGAAAGTATTTTCCTGTCTGTATTCAGTTTCAAGAAAAAAAAACTATGATAATGAAATTAAATTATGTTATCCAAAAAAACACAGTATCCCAGAAAAGATATAGAGGAGTCTGACATGAATCCCAGGAGATCCTGAAATTCCTAGAGATTTGAGCAATGTGTGACACTTTACTCTTCAAGAAAGGAGTAAGGATGAAGATAGGAACTAAAGTCATTCCTACCAACCAGAAACAGAATTGTGACCTCTCCCTAACAGATCCTACAGCTCAGTTAGCACCTAAAGATATCATGTGTCACCAGTCTTTGGATGTAAGCAGTCATGTTAAGATTAAATAATGCAGAGTTTCCTTTGTTGATAATGCTCTTTCTCAAGCCCCAAAAGTCCTACTAAATATTTCTGGGAGTCTGCAAAAAGGTACCTTACATGTATGTACTCACAAAGAAGTCTGCTAGCTACAATCATCACAGAGCATCTACTTTATCTTTCCTTTCCAGTTCTGGCTCCACACTGCCTTGCAAAGTAACTGGAAAGGCCTTTTACCCTCGCTTATAGTAGCTATTTTGAAACCACCAGTGACTGTGCCGGGGTACTTTTTTTTTAATGCTTCCCCAAATATCAGTTCTCCAGGCTAGGGTAGACTGGTGCAGCAAGACCCAGTGTCTTCTCAGTGGCTTGCCATGACAAAAGTTTGTTTCTCGCTGACGCAAAATCTAATTGAGATCTGGGCAACTCTTTAGGGCAGCTGTTTTCCATGAAGCCTCTCTGGTCAACTAAGCAGGTTTAAATTGATAACTTAATCGTGGTTACTCACTAGCTCTTTGCTTCAGGCTGCAAATGCTGGAACTAATCACTATGGCTCTACTTTAACTGCAAGAGGGCTAAAAAGTGCAGAGAGGTTCATGTATATGAAAAGGGAGGAGAACAGATTTTGGTGTATACTAGTGATATCTACTTTACAGGTCAGTACTTGGTCCTGGGGGAAAGTGGAAACAATGACCCTCTTTCTAACTGTTGCTTTGTTTTGTCACTTGATCTTCCAATCAGTACGGCTTATGTCCAGAATCTCAAAAACTTTCTCATGAGTACACTCTATTGTAGGCTTCAACATAGGTCAAGGGTGGAAGAAAATGCCATGCCATCTTTCCCATTCTCTCTGACTCAAGTGTGTGTGTGTGTGTGTGTGATTATATATATGAGTCATTATATATAATATATATAATATATGTATGAGCCATGAGCCATTCCTTCTGACTCATATATATATATACACACACATATATTTCATGACAAATTTACATACACCCTCTTTTCCCATTTTTTTCCATCCTCCTTCAAACAATAACCAACTTGTTTGTTACTGTATTATGAAGTCAGACCAGTGCTTGGAATTCAGAAATGTGTTAACGACTGAAAGGATGAAAGGAAGGATTGGTTGATGAGTGGGTGAATGGATAAATGATAGTCCTCTCTATCCATAGATGATGCAACAAAGGGAACCTGGTTTCACTGTCTACCCTATGAACTTGTCCTGTTACCTTGACCCTAGTTGTAGTCCTTCTGGCTTAGATACAATTTTTGCCTCTTTTGGGGGCTCCCTTTGGATAGAAATTTTGTTTAACATTAATTATGTTAGTGTCAGAGGTTCACTTTAGGAGCTGAAATCCTGCCATTCAGGGATTTCTAATTAAGGAATATCCACATGAGAATAATACCAAATAAAAAATAAAATACCTTTTTATTAACTAAGCGCCCACTTCTCTCCCAAGGCAGAGATCTTTGTTAAACCAAATCCGATCATACCATGTAGGTTTGCAAACCTAAGAAAGTTTTCCATCACTTCCACCCTGGGTGATGAAAAGGTCTGGAACAGACCAGATGCAGTTTATGCACATAGTACATACACACAGGACAGAGAACAGCCATGTCCTTTCCCAGTGTGCTGCAATAAGGGACCTGTAATTGCCCCTTATTGGGGCATCAGCTTAAGGGAACATCAGCTTAAAGACCCTGCTCTCTAATGAAATGTGGTTTGGTAATTGCCTTGTGCTTTGAGTACTTGAGTAATTCCTCCTCCCTCTGGAAGAAGCTAAAAAGTAAGGAAGACAGAGGGGACGGGGGTGGCAGAAACGCCTCTTCCTCTCTAGACCAAAGTGGAAATAGGAGGAGAGCTGGCTTCTGCTCTTCTTATACATCTTGAATGTAATCTTCACTTCTCCTTTGTCCAAGCCCTTCAGTCCTTTCCCCAGGATCACATTCATTCTACTCCATGACAAAATGACAGTTTTGTCCCCAATCTAGGTCAGTGTTCTCACTCTACTACATGCTTCCTAGAGAGAGAAG